TTACTGGTAAGTAGCAAAGTTATCATACACAAATCTCTCAGGCGTTCTGTAAATCCCATGAGCATGTTTCTAAAGTGCCTTTACAGACTTGACTTTTGTACACCATATTATTATGTAACAAAAGTACGAAAGGTGATATAGACAACGAGATAATTAGGTTTTTTAATGAAGCTTGCCAATTTCAGTCTTTTTGTAAATCATTAGAACAGGGGAAGTTAGCCGAGAAAAATATTGTTGAGAGATACTAATCGGTCAACAATTCGTTTTCGTTCGTTCAAATAGATCAGTGATAAGATTATAAGCAACGAGTGTGTAAGTACTAAGATAGTCTGATGCGATACAACCGTGTATGTTTCTCAAATTTCACAAGTAAAATAATATTAATACTTATTTAGGCATTATAATCATGCCACAACCTTTATTTGGTGTATCACTAAGTAAATGATATAAAAAAAGTCCTGTTCGAATCCAGATGCTGCTAAATTTTCTTACTTTACATGGCGTGCGTACGTGTAATTGTTCAGTTTACAAAGCTAACCATTGTAAATAAACTAGTGACTGATACAAATTGTCGATTTGGAGTAGTGATGGTACACTACATTAGAAAACTTGATTACAGAATATCGTTTTATTTATCTTTCACCTATAATCCCAAGTAATATTTGACACATAATTTATTTATTTACAGCCTCCACCAGTATTCTTTTGCATACTTGGATTTTGTTTAGCAATGTTGTAAATTAAATTTATGTCCGTGTGCACTACTACTACTACTAATGATAATAATAATAGTTCTGTAAAGAACAAAGAGATGGGCAGGTGAGAACCAATTGTTTTGTGCGAAATTACACTGGATTTGTAAACTATGAAAACAAAACATTGAATACACCGTTTGCACAACTTTCTTGAATTTTCTCTCACAAACTCTGGCGTTTTCCCATTTGTGTTGTTACTCCGACCGCTTTTGTTTTTTCTCTTCTCATTTTCCTCTTCTGTCAGTAAGAATCATACTCCAAATCCCTGAGACATACTACTTATATCTGTCCGTATAAATAGAACGCACCACATTCATCCCTCCCTTAATAAGGCTTTCACAGTCGTTCCGGTCGTCGTACCACTGCCTTCTTTGTCGATGCTAATGACTCACTCTCCTGCCAACATTGCAACCAACTTTAAAGTTGACCGGCATTTATGCGCTTTTGTCTGTCTTCTTCCTAAATCGTATAGACCGCTCTGCACCTCTCCGTGGCGACGTACGGTTCTTCCCACTTCGTGATCAGCTTCCCTGATCTTGTCCTCACTTCTGTGGTGTATTTCTGTTCCCCCACTTAAAAATGCTTCCAGTTCTTTCTCTCTTTCTGTTGTGCCTTCTTTGTGTCTGATATTTGTTTCTCTTTCACGTTTGTGATTGCCTGCCTCCGCTCTGTTCTTAATCTTGTTATAGTCCACCTTTGTTACTGCAGTCAGGTCTTATTATGCACTTTTAGTCCAGTCTATCTTCCTTACATCAGCTGGAAAGGTAACTTCGAAGTCGTTTCTTGTGCGGACGTACGATGCATCAATAAAATTAATGATAACTTATATTGTCGGTTACTATGTTAAGCCCATATAACTTACTCTAGCTTCTGGATAGGAAATGGGAGGGATGAAACGAAGAGAACTGAGCGGAGCGAAATTACATGCAGTGGAGAAGGCAAGTGAGCCAACTCAGTTTAACCAAGCGTTAATCGATATTTATAACCAGATAAAAATAAGATACAGACATGTAATGAGTAGGATAGGATGTGCACACACATACGCTCGTATAAAAACAATCACTGTTGATGAGCGAATAATTAACAAGTCAAAAAGTGAATCAAGAAGAATGGATACATAGTAACCAACACTACAGACTCTCTCTCTCACTCCCGTCATTTAAGTGTTTGCCATTCCTTTGACGTCCTAATGTTGCTTTCCGTTATGCCGTTCATCTGTAAGTGATCCTGTGTCGTTTGTATTCTACTGATACCTAACCACTTTAGACGGGATTCAAATTTGTCACTCTCGAAACAAGGACTCTGGACGGTTAATATCACCTTCACTATTCTGTGGTCGGCTACAATAATCCGGAGTAATACTTCAGTTACTGTTCTTCCCTGTTCGTCTGCAACGAGCACGGCATCTGCCCAATGTGCAGGATGTTCTGTCGTTACTAGCAGGTATTGATTACCTCTCACCGCCTATGGAAACGATCGCATTACGTGCAACAACCATAGATCCCCAACTGCGGTTGATAATTTTCACCCCACCAGAACGGCTTCATATAATGCCAATCATGTATGACCAACCTCACTCAAAACTCATGGAGTCCCTGATGTGCGATGGTATGCACGACTATATACTATTCATAAACTTCTCACACTAACAGCATGGTTTCAGGAAGGGTCATTCTTGTATAACCAACCTCCTGACTGCGGTGGCCAGAAAAGGGAAAGGTTGACATTATTCACCTTAACTTATCACTCCATGCCTAAAAAGTCGACCTTTTAAGGTCACCGCTAATTTCACTTTCTCTCGGGATATGGAATGTCCTAGTGGGGTCCCTCAGGGATTCATATTATTATTTTCTTATTATTAGCTTTATTCAATATTATATTTTCGGTACAATATAGAATTCTCATCACAAAGTACTTCAACAAGTTTCCGTTTCTTATTTCTTCGTCCTTCCTGACGATAAATATTGAGTGATCACCAGTTAGAAGTTAGCAGCCCAGTCAATCGACATCTGAAAAATCTAAAGTAAAGTAGTCCAAGGGCGACATGTTACAGACTGCAGTTAGGAAAATTCTCTCTAGAAGTATTCCAAGTTGAAAGAGATTTAGGAGTGCTGTCACCCTAGGACTTGAAGTCCTACGCTAACTGTGATAGAAACGCCTTTCACACCTGGTCAGTACTCAGTACTCTTGCAATACCTTTAAGCGCCATCTGGTGATAATCAAGAATCATCACATAGCACAGGTCCTTCATGATTACCACCACTCAAACCTCGTCATCATTCCACCAGGTCAGAAATTCATGTACCTCTGCCCTCAGACTTTCCTTGTGCTGAAGTAACACAGTTGCCACCTTGTCTGTTACACTTGTCGACATGTTTTCATTCTCTGATCACTCTGATTTTATCTCTCGAAGGTTAAGGTCAGCCTTCTGTGTCAAACAAGTTCTAGTGGGTCTTCCTCTAGGCTATTCACTGCGTATTCTGTCAGTGGAGGTTTAGATTCTATTTCAGGCGTTGAAGAGTGATCTGCCAATACGTTCTCCTTTCCTGGAATACGCACAATATTGTAATCGTACTACTGTAGACGTAGCATCCTTCGCGCCAACTTCCCACGGTGGGTCTTTTGCTGATTCCTACTACTGCAGCGACTTGTCAGTTTCGATGTGAAATCGTACACCGAGTGGGTACGGTCCCCACTCGTCAACCGCCCATATAATCGCCAATCACACTTTTTCTAACATTCCTGTTCAGTGGGAGAAAGGACATTAATCTCATACGCCACTACACCGTCAGACTGATTTAAGACAGCACCTATAATAAGATCACTTGCATCTGAGGCCAATTTGAACGCTTTCTCGAGTTCTTGCAGTTTCAGCGTCATCTGGTAGTCGTCTAAGGGTTATTTGATTAGGTCAAAAGTCTGCTGCGCGGTCACTGTCCACGTAAACTCAGCGTTTATTAGCAACTTACATAGGGGCGTTGCTATGCCGCTGAAATTACTGACGAGTCGACTGTAGGACGTCTCTATTCCTCTCCGAATTTTGGCACCTCAATATTCTTTGTCGTTAGAAACATCTCCGGATGTGGTTTTATGTCTCCATTCCTTACTTTGCGCCCCAAAAACGTCACGCTGCATTTCGCAAACTGCGATTTGTCCTCAGTAATCTGGTGTCCACGTCCTCATTCAATTCGCTTTAGGAACGCCTTCACATGCTTTATATGTTTCTGTATAGCTATACACATCCATTTCGTCATCATACACCCCGACGTCCTCCAGGTCCTTAAGCAGCAGCGTCATTAATCTTCTGAACGTGAACGGTGCTCCTTCCAATCCAAATAGGTTCGTCGAAATCGATACTACTTCTCATGTACGATAAGTGCTGTCTTGTTTCGATAGCTCTCTTTTATTGGCAGTCGCCAATAACCTGACAGCAAATCCGATACTATAAACACTGTAGCATTATGTTGTCGATTTCATGTTTCCACTATTGTTGTCACTGCACATAGTTTCAGTTCTCTAAAATCAATAAAGAGTCTATACTTTTCATTTGGCTTCTTTGACGAGATCAGTGAGCTGTATGGACAGTCCAAATACAGCCACACACATATCACAAACAGCCTTCGCCTTGACTCTCAACAGCGTCCTCAACACCACCGTCGTCGCCTTGGGCTACTTCACACCCATCGGCTCCGCAACAGTTTTAAATTTCTTCAGGATGTACTGCGCATCTCCTCCCTCAAACACAAGCAGACATGGAATCTTCACCCTGAGTAGAGGCAGCGACACCAATTGTAGTAAACGAAGACTTGGGCAGGAGAAATTGATTATACCATGCAAAATCAGTATTTTTTGTCAGCTTCACATAACCAGGTCAATTTCTGGAGACATCGGTGTACATCGTTTTTTGATGTGAAAGCTGAATAATAGAAAGTTTCTTTTTTTCACCCCACATTTTTGAACCATTCGAATTATGGGTATGTTAGTGTAAAAGATTAAAGGGTAAGTCCTAACTTGGAATCCAGAAAGGAAGCAGAAAAAAGAAAGGCCAAATAACACATTAAGCCGGGTGATAGAAGCAGATATGAAAAGAATGAATAAAAACTGGAAAGAACTGGAAAGGATTGTCCACGACAGAGTTGTATGGATAATGATGGTGAGCGCCCTATGCTCCTCGACGAGGGGTAACAGGCGTGAGTATGTAAAGTAAAAAACAAGATTTACTAAGATTTATTCCTACACTTCTTCATCCTAGTCATTTTATGCCTTATAGCCAAAGCATTGTATTTTTGTCTTTCAACGATTGACCTTGTTTATTGAATATTTGTTGAGCTACATGCTGTTTGCCGTTACATATTCAATTGGGAAACATGGACAAGGCTGTCGTCCAGACCAAGCTTGCAAGGGTAAGTTTCGGCAATGGTTATACATCTACTTTATTGTGTAGGTGAAAGCGGTTGTTGGCAGAACTGGTTCTCAGGGTCAATGTACACAGGTCCGTGTAGAGTTTCTGGATGATACTAATAGGTCAATCATAAGAAACGTGAAAGGTCCTATTCGTGAAGGCGATATTTTAACCTTGTTGGAAACAGAAAGAGAAGCCAGAAGATTACGTTAATGCATTCTAAATAAAAGGTGGTAATGAAATTGCCGTTTTTTCATTCATATAAGTCTAACACGGCTGTCCAAAAACGTAACCAAATCAATCACGAGCCCGCTTTTCCTATACATAAGTCTAAATATTAAACGGAACCTATATGTTATGTGACAACAGTCATGAAACTTCATACTTGAATTTTCAGTCACAGACGGTCTTCCGTAGTTGACAACAACCCGAAAACGAAAACCAAAATAGCTGAATTAGGTAATATCCACTATTGTAGTCACACTTCAAACAAGTCATTTGTCGGTTGCTGATGAAAATAAAGACTGTCGCTAACGATTTGCATGTGGACTTTCTCTACAGATTTAGAGAGTTAAAGCTTCACTGTCAGTTTTTCTTCATGCTGAATAAGTATCTCTTCAGCAGCGTGCTGAGATATGCCTGATATCAAATGCACGCCGATACTTGAACAAAAGTAGTCCCAATTTCAGTTTAAAGATAGGTAACTACCATTAGTTTCTAAGTAATAGGATGCATTCCTCCTGGGTGCATTGGGTTTCGAATAATTCATTAGTTCTCATTATCAGGTGGTTGAAATTGAATTCTTAGTGTGTCTTACACCTGTATCTTTGTGTATGTGAATTAAGTGGTTTTTAAGTGAACTGTAAACTTTTAACTCGTCAAGTTATATGACGAGGTAAACTTCATATAGATATGAATGGTCTATACTATGACCATGGGACATAGTCCACCTCACACTAATCGAATGAGATTCGTGCGGGGCTTATGTACTCGGTACCAATAGTTAAGTGTTCAAATAAAAAATATACTATGACGTTACGCAGTGTGTCGGGTAAACTTCCTTTCACAACATGTGTTTATTGTGATTTCATGGTAAATAGTGCGAGCATTTTTGCGAAATCTTTGGATATAACCCAGCTTTGTCACATCATATAGTTTTGGTGATTGATACTGAATGTGGGTGTTCGTTTCTTATATAGCGACTGGATATTTTGTCTGTCCAATCGCTAGTCTTTTGATTTGAGTAAACAACAGCGCGGCAACGGGTAAACGTCATATGAAAAGACTAATGGAATTTGGCGTTATTTTCGACCTGGGATTTGTTACAATAGGCAACTGAACATGGATAAATAAATATAGACGGCATCCTTAGTGAGATATTAATTACACCACAAAGTTGGGACGAACTTATAACAAGACGGTATCAAGCTTGGGATCATAAGCTCGGACCGTAGATTTGGGAACTACGTGTCTGTGTACATTGTTTACTTTTATCTCCAAGTTAGGCTTTAGAAGGTCCCTACTTGTGTCCGAAGAACAGACATCTTCAGTTCGCATTAACTTGGTATAAATAGTCGAGTGAAGATGTGATACAGTCAGTATCATTTATTATGTAGTCCGTAATTCGTAAGTGGGACGCTATTTTTCAGCCTTACGTACGTACAAAAGGTCAAGGCTCAATTATTAACTTGTCAGAGGATAAACTTCAGGATAAGAAGCTTGAATCCGGCCCTATACTATTCAGTGTGGACGAGTTCGTAACGTTAAGAGATTTAGACATAATCTAGATCAAGCGATCGCTAATTTAAGATGCTAACTGTACAACATGTACGTGGTGTTTTGGTTTATAAAACTGATGCTACTTTCGTCAGTTGAGAGGTCTTGCTTTATAAGAGTACATACTCAGAAAGCTCCGTGCGTCAGGGTCATCTAAGCACGATAACTGTAATGGACTTACACGGTCAGAAACATTCATCGAAAAGTTTTCCATCCAACATGTTGACGATAATGAGGTAGTAAGCCCTATGCAATTCTTGAGCTTAAAACAAAATAGAATAATTAAAAACAACTTACGGAACTTGGGTCAAGTTCATTGCTTGATTTGTACTTGTTAATAAGTCGATAACAGGATTTCCTAACCTGGGTGTGTGCGATCAATTATATTATGAAGATTAGATGCTCGCACCATGTGCATTATGTAATCACTAAACTTCAACATTTTCAGTCTAAAAACTTACTTTTGTAAAATCCTTACAATGGAATCATTCGTCCAATGTTAGCTCAATGAAATCTCCTTTGTGACCTACTCCTTGATGCCTAAAGATAACCGCACTGCAGAACTGTCAATATAACACAGCCATAGCTAGATGTAACAACTTATAAGGCATTAACCGTCGTAGTATTAGTGCAATCATACTCATATATTAAGCGTACGGAAATATGATGCCTGATTGTCATACTGAAAGACAAAAGAACCGATACAACTTCGGAATTATTGATAAAATGGGAAGCATAGTCACTATTATAATTAACAGGTGAATCACGGAACTGCCATTAACGAGCAAATGTTTCATCAGCTAATCGGGCCTCCTTATTTTATCATCAAATAAACTTGGTTGGCTTGCAACTTTTAGAACATTTCAGATGACCGAATGCCAGACTGAAGAGTAAGAACTTACTTGAGAATTTCAAATGTTTATCCGTACTGTCCATAAGACTAATACATAGCATCTTACAATGTTTTCATTCTTATTATTTATTTAAACACGTAAATATTGGTGCAAAGGGGCACCACATTTATATGCGCCAAACAAAACAATGAAAAAAAGGAAAAGAAAGGGGTAAGATGCATCAAAAAAGTAATGGTGAGAGGAACTGGAATGTACAACCAGAAGAACTCTCTCAGGTAAAGAGGTTATAACCACTCTTTATGCAGAAAGTAAAAGAAGGTTATAGCAGGATCGCCATTGGCTTCTATTCTGAGTCATAACGTGTGGCACCATCTCTCGGACCCCAGTCAGGGAGTCGTGAAGGACCAACAAAAGTCAGTCCTTTGCAGCTTTCTTTCATACTACGACACCATGTCATACACTGACCACTCTCCGCTTTTTCCAACCAGTCCCAGCGTAGGCAAATAATGCACGACGTGGAATTCTCTGGGACGACATTCGTAGAACATGTCCAAGCCACCAAAATCGTTGTTTCAAAATGGTGACACCAATTGAATTATCGTCTCTGCGCGAGAACACTCGACGCCGAACCCCTGCATTACTAACATGGTGTTGCCACTGGATGTCAGCAATCCTTCGGAGACAACGATGATCGAACACAGAGAGACGTCTAACATCCTCAACTCGGAGAGGCCAGGTTTCACAAGCATAGAGCAAAACTGCTCTCAACAACGCGTTGTAGATCCGACCTTTTACAGCCAGACTAACATCACGAAGGCGCCAAAGATGACCCAGATTGGCATAAGCCGCTCTGGCTTTCATTATACGTGAATCGATATCATGACTCACGCCACCACCAGCACATATGCAGCTACCTAGATACACGAACGTTTACAATATTAACAGAGACAAATGACTTTCTGAATCACAGACTAAAAACTGCATCAACAAGAACTTATCCTGCAGCGAAACTTATTGTCTTGTTCAAAGCATGTTCTTGAACACATTCAAAAATGGTCATTTTTCATTAATTTATTATTTTCATTTGTTCAGATAAATATTGGTACAAACATGTACCAGATACATATGCACCACACAAATCAAATGAGATTTGCGTGAGGGCTGTGATACTGCTCAGGTGCCCAAACTAAAGCAGGGGACCACACCTGGAGCCTTCGACCTAAGAGTCTGATCCAAAAGACAGTGGAGCATCGTAATGAGATGCAGTCCCATGGTAGCCGGTGACTAACGATTTGTTCATTCGCTATTTGTTCCTTCAGGATCCTAGAGCCAGCCTATGTGCACCATTGGTTTTGAATCAGGGTTTTCCAACTCCCTTAGGTCTACTCACTGTGTTCACAAACCCGATTAAAGCGCAGACATTCGCTTTTCGTCCTCTTGATTTTGTAAACAACACCCCTGCCACGTGAAGTCAGTGAGTAGGACTTCCCTGGCAGAGGCTATGTTACGCATGACAATGTGACAGTATTTCGAGAGGGAGAGCGGACTCTCCCCACTCTCGGCCATACCAGGGCATTTGGGGGGCCTATTTTCATAGGAATTAACTTATTTTAACTAATATCCTTCTTTATTATTACTAATCTGCTTTCAGTTAATTCAATACATAATCGTGCAATGTTTGTTAACTCTATAATTTCCAATCACTAGTTCGATGTTCTGGAACTTCCCCTCTCATATTTTATCTATCTATCTATTTTGTTTTTGCTCTCTTCAAATAATTCAACTCATAAAACAAAACAATGTTACATTAGAGCTCAGTAAACCTTTAAAACATTTTGCATCTTCAGGTTTCCATAGATAAATCGACTTCATTATAGGCCTGCCACAAGCTCTTATGACATGACTTGTTTCTCTCAACAGACTAGTGATACATTAGACCAATCAGAAATTGGCCAGATAATAGGTGCATATGATTGGCCAAGAAATCCCCTTCATTTACTAAGAACGAGGCACTCACCTGGACGGTTGTGGTCATGTATAGGAAGGTTGGGTAGCAGAACCAAACTCCACAAGGCACAACAATTAGTTTTCATGGGATAGTCCTTTGTTACACGATAACTGTTGCAAGATATCATACTCAAACAAAAAAGTATTAACACTATTCTTTCACTCACCCTATACTAATTCCAGCATTCGACGGTTGTTCACACAATAAATCCTCTAAGACACTTGTTACATGTTGAGTAATATCTCGTTGTATATCCATTTTTTGATCATCTGATAAACAATCAACTTTATGAATAAATACTTCGAATTTAATGTTCATATTAAAACGGAATGCTGACTCTAAAGTAGCGTGTAGGCGAGTTAAAGCCGCATGATAATCATCCTACAGATTTAAAATAACGATCAACAATATAAATATTTGACATATGACTAGCAATTAAAAACCTGGGAAACTGAATCATATACATTTCATCAATCACTCAATTGTAATCTATTACGACAATCGAATTGATCTGATCACAGTTGGATAATACAGTATCGGTAATATTCGTTGTGAATACAATAACTTCTAAAGATAACTGTAAATAATACAAAACTGTTTTGTACTGTATGAACTTCAACTGACACTGACAGCATCTATTATACTGATAAAAACAATTCTCATACTCACTACACTGTAGTAAGAATAGGTTATTATTAACTTATCTACATATCTCATTTGGCATTTATCATTACAAGTAATTCTTATAAAATAGAACAGTAAAATATCAAATTGTTCAGTTGAGGATGAGCTGATGATCAGTAAAATATAAGCAGAAGATTTTGCAAACAAAACAAAAAACACACCGCATTCAGAAAAAACAATGATGACAGCTTCAAATGAAAAAAATAAACGGATAAGAAATTCATGTAGGAATAACACATTGATTTGCATGTTTCATATATATGATGAAAATCATTTACATATGTGTACAAGGTAGCAAATAGTAATCTTTGATAGAAGTAAACCATAATGATGATCAATATAGATATATTACAAGATTCTACTATTCTCTTCTTATATCTCTATTTTTATATTTTGGTTCTCCATCACTAACTTCCTGTCCATCTTCATCTTTTCCACTCGAATCAAGTTCGTTTACTGGCTCTTCATCTTCTGGTATAGGATCTGAAGACGGTTGATGTATCAACAATGCAGCTAATTCTCGCTTTGCATGTTGTTGATTTAATTCAAGCATTTGTTGTAATGCATTTTTAATGACACAGAAATTGAATTCTATTAAACCTAAAAATGTAATAGAATGACCAAATTCTAGAAACTAATGTGTTATAACATGAAACATCGAATAGTTTACTTCACAATATAATACGTAGTAATAGTTAGAGATAATATAAGGCAACTCTACATTGGAAGTTTTGAAGCTCATCCTATTATTTCAAAAAACAGATATCCATGCATGATTATAACGAAAACAATAAAGTCCACCGACTTACGTGTGTACTAATACACGAGTTAGGGAGGAGTGATGCATACTGCTTACTAGATAGTGTATAGATCAACCTTTATAAAAACAGGAACAAAAATACTTATCGTTTGTTGATTTAAGGATTTTTGTCATTTGATTATGCTTTCAAGATGCTTGAAAATTTGCAAAACATCCGACGCAGTCGAGCAAGATATCTGGTCTTTAATTTGTAAATGTTAGGTAAAAGGGTATCTTTATTAGGATTTATACAGTGATTTGTCAGGTGTTTTAATGCGAGTTGGCGAATGGTCAGTTTTTTAAAAGAGTTGAGTCTGTTATATTCTCACTAGATTCACCACAGACTGTGGTACAATGGTTTTCTTATTGAACAATGAAGTATTGAGTCACCTAAGTTTAGTTCGAATGCAAATGTTTACAATGTGTGAAAATGAATAAACAATTTTGTATTTTGTAGATATATATATATATATACACTAAAATTAATGTTTTAATAATAATGAACTGTAAATAAGATAGACTAAATAATCGTTTACCCATTTTCTCTAAAGATTCTTCATACATCAAACAAGCTAGAGCCATATACTGATTGACGCCACGAAGATATAATGCTCTATCATTGTTTAAAATGATTGTTGCCCCAGTTTGCTCAGAGACAGGCGGATCAACAAAATTAGTTTGTGGACTGCAAGCAAAGATGAGAAGGTATCATTTAGAATGAACTTAACAGAGGGGAAGGGAGTTCGCGAATTACATATAACTTGCATAAAACACATCTCATTTTTCTCTTGATATATATATATATATATATATATATATATATATATATATAGGGATTAGTGATAAGTAATTAGTGGGTTGACAAGGTAGGACTGAAGTCTAATAACACAATCCATTTGACTTTCTACCCGAGATGTGAAACTGGAGTACTTTGCTAACTCATACGCTCTTGTGTCAAACTTTTCTAAAGTATTTTACATTCAATAAAAGAATACTTTAAATGAAACATATTAGATAAATGAGCATTACAGAGACGATATCGGCTTAAATGATATGCCGGAAGTTGGTAGAAATTCACACAGTAGAACTTCGAAGTACTTAACTTGGGAGGACAATCAATAGATATTTAAGAGAGGAAGAGCGAATATTTAGTTCACAATTTTCTTTAGCATACATAAACAGTTTACAATTTTCGTATGAAATTAATACCACACGTCAAAATTCAGCCGTGTTGCCTCCTAACGACGGAAGTAAGAAGTTAGAATCGGTAGACCCTAAAAACCCGGCACTTCTTTGACCCTACGAGTAGTAAGGCATTCAGGATCAACGGGCTGACAAACCAAAAATTCCTTTGGACGTGCGTGTCTATCCTCAAGCAGTTCCTCACTGAGGTCTGTGGTCGTGCTTTCAGTTAACCAGTCGTCGATAACGTCCGCCCGAATGTGGCTTAGCATGAAATCCAGACAGTCGTGAAAACAGCGATAGGGTCTGTTGTAATCTATTTTTTAATGTTCGCCCATCTACCACCTAACTCGATGCGCAATGATGGTTGGTGTACAAGTAGGTTTGAAGAAAGCTAGATGTGGGCAAACCAATATATTTTCTACTTCAGGTTACACGCTTCTGATGATTTCGTGTGTGCTAGAATTTACTCAAAACCAATGTTTTGTCAGTCAGTCACAACGTAAAACCTGTACGTATGTACATCGGTTAAAGTTGGCATAATCAAAATGTTTTGTAAGTTTAACATGCTACTTGCAGCGAGAAGAGTACCGAACCATGGACTCAATGAAAAGCCATCCTTAAAAGGATTTTCCCAGTTATTGACGTCATTATAGTTACGTTCACTCAGCCACAGCGTGCCACTAAAATCTGTCATCATTATCTACTCTGTGAAGGTTCCTTTATGATATTACTTCTACTGGACCTTATGTTATGGAGATATCACAGTATATGAAGGATTTTTAGTATGTTCAGTAGGGTGCATGACGATTAAATCTAAAACTCCATTGTAGATTGGAAGAACAGTCCGAAATAGAGCCTTACAAGTCAAGCTGGTGTACGATTGGTTTTTACAGAAAATTTGGGATGAGTAAACAAAGATATGGCACCAATCCATGAAAGCTCTGACTATTAGATTGAGCAATGTAGGCATGATCACACTGGTTGAGTTGCGCATGATTATCTTAACCAACAGTTAGAGACTTAGTCTAGATGTCTGAAGATCGTTCGCAATGGCGTAGAAGCATTTTATGTTTGTCATATCTTTCATCCTAATTTTCTTGTTCCTCCATAATTTTGTTTTGAATCACTAATATATATTTTGTTCTCCAACCGTATCTTCGATATCTAATCTTTTCTACCACTACTACAATTACTACATCTACTCAGCTGGGATTTGCCCTGTAAACTTTATCTGGTTGTGCTAAAAGGGTATTACAACTTGAACTGATATTCACATGCACCAGATTCTACGCTGCGTACGGCTGACTGACATTATTGCGCACGAAATGTTACTTGCATACGTGCTGTCAGATGTGTTCAAAATATTTATATACCACCGGAAACCTGAAGTTGAATAACTTTTGGTTACAGAATAGTGATATTTATTATATATACTTATTTATTATGGCATACAGTAGGTATTATCATATCACCTGTAACTAGCTGAGCAACAGTAAAGCAAAATTAGATGATAACTTATTTTTCATGACTACGAATCGTGCTCGAAAATTATCAGCACAATTTCAGACGGTAATTTCAACAGCGTGAAGGAGTTTATGCTAAATCGATGTCCGTTAGACATGTTGATTTCGATACGCTTATGGTTTCTGAAAGAATAAAGGTTTTAAAGTTTATGATATTAAGTCGCTGAACATTTATGAAAATAAATGTATAAAGTGAAAAGATTATTCACATTAACTAATAGCCTACGTGTAGATTGCTGCTACATCTACGACAACATCAATCATATCACAACATAATTCATAAGTTTGCATGTCTACTGCATTTGAATCTGTTGCTAAATATATTTTACTTGTGACATCAAAAAGAAATGCTTTGTCCACCATTGAATTCTGCAAAACAAGAAAGAAAACATGATTAAGAAATTAAATAGAGATTTTTTTAAAAATATACGCGAAGCAATCACATGAATGATAATGTAAAGAATCGACCTACAAACAAAAACTAAGCATGATTAGAGTAAAAAATTGAATTTTGGATTGTGATGTTGCTTATACCATAGAAATTTACAGACCGTTCTGTTATGTATTCTAAGGAGTAATAAAGGTCCTTTTCTGATAGTCGTTTTATACCAAATTGCTGAAACCTCGGAAACGAAACTATTAATTGATAAAAGTCAGTCAAGGAATTCTCAAAAAACGACGTGCCTTATATCATATTCGTGGGAGATTTAGACATCCAGTCTTCTAAAGGATGGCTTCATTGAGTCCATGGTTCGGTACTCCCAAATTTTCTGTAAAAACCAATCGTACACCAGCTTGACTTGTAAGGCTCTATTTCGGACTGTTCTTCCAATCTACAATGGAGTTTTAGATTTAATCGTCATGCACCCTACTGAACATACTAAAAATCCTTCATATACTGTGATATCTCCATAACATAAGGTCCAGTAGAAGTAATATCATAAAGGAACCTTCACAGAGTAGATAATGATGACAGATTTTAGTGGCACGCTGTGGCTGAGTGAACGTAACTATAATGACGTCAATAACTGGGAAAATCCTTTTAAGGATGGCTTTTCATTGAGTCCATGGTTCGGTACTCTTCTCGCTGCAAGTAGCATGTTAAACTTACAAAACATTTTGATTATGCCAACTTTAACCGATGTACATACGTACAGGTTTTACGTTGTGACTGACTGACAAAACATTGGTTTTGAGTAAATTCTAGCACACACGAAATCATCAGAAGCGTGTAACCTGAAGTAGAAAATATATTGGTTTGCCCACATCTAGCTTTCTTCAAACCTACTTGTACACCAACCATCATTGCGCATCGAGTTAGGTGGTAGATATAAATATATAAATAAATATATTTATTGCACTTTTTGCAATGAAACCTTCTTATTAGTCAGTGTATTTCACAGACTAAGAAAATAACTTCGTCAGAACAAATAAGATGAATTGATTTCATTTTAATATCAGAATTTACTCAACTATCAATGAAACATTATTACTTTGCGTATGTGATCATTTTAAAATTTTATGGATAGGAATAAAATGTTTTTTTAAAACATGATACATTCCAATTACTAAATAATCAATCTTGTTATGAACAAAATGTAAACAAGAACAGTGAATATGTACTAGTTAGGTGATCTGTATAATGAAATAGTAACTGTACTATTCAAATTTCACAATGATTAGATTTTGAACTACACTTTATTAATTCCAGTCTCGAAATTTCGATGATATTGATAGCCATTCCCTAAAAGATATGGTTCAAAATCCTGTAGTAAACGAGTATGTGACTAAATAAGAAACTCAAATTTGTTTCTGTTTGGGCACCCGGGCAGCATCACAGCTCACACACAAATAAATGAAATGATGAATTCTATTGACGATACTATTCTCGCTCATCCTAGAAACAAGACAATTTACATTATTATTAGTATTACTACCATTATTATTATTACTATTATTTACTACGTCGCTTTTTCATTCCCTTTATTCCCAAATTGTGTACCCTTCCTTTCCAACTTATGCAGCAGCTCGCCCATGGTGGGAACTCTGTCCCATCTAAACAATCTTTAGTCACTGTTTGGTTGAAAGTGAATGCTTCCACCGATTACGAATACTGAGGCAGTCTTTCTGAAACCACGTACGCCGTTCAAGCTGGCTTCCTTCAACGTTCGCACACTAATGCAGATCAGACAACAGATGGGGATGACTTTGTCGATAGAAAGTCTTAATGTTGACGTTTGCTGTCTATCCGAGACCCGTATTCAAGACTCTGGTGAAGTACTACAAATTCGCTCTCCACCACCAACGGATCGATGTTAGTAAACTGGCTGCAACATTTGTTGTAAGTAAGTATCGAGCGAAGCTAGCCTCTAGGCTAGCTACCACCCCACCGAAAAGTATAGATGAGCATTGGTTGCATCTTCACGACGCCATGAAAATGGCGAGTAAAGCCGCTTGCGGCTTCGTGAAACGTCCCGCCTACAAGCACTGGGTTTCTTCTGGCTCCTTACAACTGATCGAAGCCCGTCGGTCTACTCCGGGTGACCGTGAGTATGACCACATACGAAGGCCGTTACGTAATGAAATTGGGCAAAGCTTGCGTAAGGACCGAGAAACCTGGTGGTCGGAGCGTGCTAATGAGATGGAAGCAGCAGCTGCATCTGGTAACTGCCGGAAGCTCTTCCAACTCATCCGAGCCACTGGCAGCAAGAAGTCTGGTGTGAGTGAAACAATCTACGAGGATGATGGGATGTCAATCACTAACATCTCTCGACGTCTTGGACGATGAGCGGAATTTTTCGAAGGGCAGTTCAACTGGCCTGCTGCTCTGGCAACATCAACCAGCTTATCCTGCCCCCCATGGCCGGTGACGACTGATCCACCAAACGAGGCGGAAGTCCGCAAGGAACTCCAACTCTTGAAACGTTACAAATCACCTGGCCCAGATGACTTACCTCCGGCTCTTTTTAAAGATAGTGGTGACTTTCTGGCTAAGGAACTGACGGTGTTGTTTGCAAAGGTTTGGGAGCAAGAAAGTATTCCAACATCATAGAATGAGTCAATAGTCGTCCCTATCTTTAAAAGCCCCCAAATGCCCTGGTACGGCCGAGAGTGGGGAGAGTCTACTCTCCCTCTCGAAATGCTCTCACATGGCCAGCGAATATATAGCCTCTGCCAGGGAAGTCCTACTCACTGCCTTCCCGTGGCGGGGGTGTTGTTTACGAAAGTGAGAGGACGAAAAGCGAATGTCCGGCGCTATAACCGGATTGGTGGACACGGAGGGTCCACCTAGGGGAGTTGGAAAACCCTGATTCCAAACCAATGGTGCACATGGGTTCCAGTATCCTGATGGAACGAATGGCGGAAGAACCTGTCATTGGTCAACGGCAACCATGGGACTGCATCTCCTCACGATGCTTCACTGCTTTGTGGATCAGACCTTTAGGTCAAAGGCTCGGGGTGTGGTCCCCTAAGAAAACCACCTGCTTCGGTTTGGGCACCCGGGCAGTATCACAGCCCACAGACAAATGAATGAAATTATGAACTCTATTGACGATAATATCCCTGGTCATACAAAAAGCAAGACAATTAACATTATTATTATTACCTTTATTATTATTATTATTGAAGGATTTTTTCTGGTTGGCGTTTTTTTAGCGAGTTGATTTTCTACGGGATGGGGTCGCTAACCCCATGCCCAACCCTCCTCCTTTACCCGGGCTTGGGACTGGCAGTAACCCCCAGAGGAGCTACAGGTGGAGAAATAAGAAAGGCATTATCCAGAAGATACAAGTGTTTATTAACAGCTGTCTACGCAAGATACTTCGGATCCGATGGCCAGACACTATCAGCAACAAGTTACTGTGGGAGAGAACAAACCAGATTCCAGCAGAGGAAGAAATCAGGAAGTGGATTGGGCACACCTTGAGGAAATCACCTCATTGCGTCACAAGACAAGCCCTCACATGGAATACTGAAGGTCAAAGGAGAAGAAGGAGACCAAAGAACACATTACGCCGAGAAATTGAGACAGACATGAGAATAATGAACAAGAACTGGGTAGAACTAGAAAAGGAAGCGCAGAACAGAGTGGGTTGGAGAAAGCTGGTCGGCGGCCTATGCTCCATTGGGAGTAACAGGCGCAAGTAAGTAAGTAAGTATTATTATTATTTACCATATCGCTAACTCACCCCCTTTTATCCCCAATTTGTGTAACCTTACTTTTCAACTTATGCAGCAGCTCGCCCATGGTGGGAACTCTGTCCCATCTAAGCGATCTCTAGTCACTGTCTGGTCGAAAGTGAATGCTTTCACCGATTACGAATACTGAGGCAGTCTTTCTGAAACCACGTACGCCGTTCAAGCTGGCTTCCTTCAACGTTCGCACACTAATGCAGATCAGACAAAAGATGGGGCTGGCTTTGTCGTTAGAAAGTCTTAATGTTGATGTTTGTTGTCTATCCGAGACCCGTATTCAAGACTCTAGTGAAGTACTACAAATCCGCTCTCCATCTGTCGCCTCGAAGAGCTTGTTCCACGTGCGCTTATCCGGGGACCCTGTGGCATCTTCGTCCGGTCTTGCAGGCGTTGGTGTTGCACTAAGTGCTAGAGCTGAGGCAGCACTAATCGATTGGATCCCCATTAACAGTCGGTTATGTGCTGTTAGATTAGAAAGTTCCATCAAAGTGAGAAGAAATCGGCGTGAGAAACGGTGTCTATTCGTCATCTCCGCCTATGCCCCGACAGTTTGCAGCCCGGATGCAATCAAGGATGAGTTTTACCACCAGTTAACAGTTCTTCTCCAGAAAGCGCGTTCGACAGATATTGTAGTACTAGCAGGAAACTTGAATGCACAGGTCGGGCGTCTAGGCACAGAAGAGAGTCGTCTAGGTGGCCGATGGGAAATTGTTGGTCGCCGGACAGATAACGGGGACCGTTTGCTGCAACTGTGCACAGACCACAACCTGTTTCTGGCTAGCACTAACTTCCGGCACAGTCATCTACGAGGATGATGGGATGTCAATCACTAACATCTCTCGACGTCTTGGACGATGGGCGGAATTTTTCGAAGGGCAGTTCAACTGGCCTGCTGCTCTGGCAACATCAACCAGCTTATCCTGCCCCCCATGGCCGGTGACGACTGATCCACCAAACGAGGCGGAAGTCCGCAAGGAACTCCAACTCTTGAAACGTTACAAATCACCTGGCCCAGATGACTTACCTCCAGCTCTTTTTAAAGATGGTGGTGACTTTCTGGCTAAAAAACTGACTGCGTTGTTTGGAAAGGTTTGGGAACAAGAAAGTGTTCCATTATCATAGAATGAGTCGATAGTCGTCCCTATCTTTAAAAAAGGTTCACGTTGTTCCTGTAATAACTATCGGGGGATAAGTCTACTTCCGATTGCGTCCAAACTATTGGCTTCTATCATTCTTCGTAGGTTGTTTAAAATCCGAGAACGATTGACTCGCGAGGAGAAGGCCGGTTTTCGTTCTGGTCGAGGATGCATTGATCACATCTTCACCCTCCGCCAAATGTTAGAACACCGTCATACTTATCGCAGGCCAACAATCGTAGTGTTTCTTGATATCAGGACGGCCTTCGATTCGTTGGAGAGGACTGTTCTCTGGGATTGTCTATTGAAGAAGGGTGTGCCTGAGAAGTTCATTAACATCTTAAAGGCCCTGTATACGAACACCTCAGGCAGAGTGAGGGCATACAACCACCTTTCTCCCTTGTTCCATTCGAGCAGTGGGGTTAGGCAGGGTTGCCCGATCTCACCATTCCTCTTCAACTTTGCCATCGACGACATCCTGGAAACAGCTCTGATGGATGTAAGTAATGGCGATGTGGATCTGCTGCCTGGAGAACGACTTCTCGACCTTGAGTATGCGGATGATATTGTCTTACTGTGCGATAATGCCCAAGGCATGCAATCCGCACTTAATCAGTTGGCAATCAGTGTCCGCAGGTACGGCATGTGCTTTGCACCCTCCAAGTGCAAAGTACTCCTACAAGACTGGCAGGATTCTCATCCTGTACTCACCCTAGATGGTGAGCAGATTGAAGTAGTTGAGAAGTTCCTGTATCTAGGTAGCTACATAAGTGCTGGCGGTGGCGTGAGTGATGAGATTGATGCACGTATAATGAAAGCCAGAGCGACTTATGCCAATCTGGGTCATCTTTGGCGCCTTCGTGATGTTAGTCTGGCTGTAAAAGGTCGGATCTACAACGCGTTGTTGAGAGCAGTTTTGCTCTATGCTTGTGAAATCTGGCCTTTCCGAGTTGAGGATGTTAGACGAAACGGCCGACCAGTGCTTCCAGCCAGGTTTTCCATGGTGGTTTAACTTCAATTGACTCATGATTTTAACTATGAAAAATAAAATGAACAATTTTCAATTTGTAATAAATAAAATTAATACAACCTTGATTACTTACAGTAATAAATATATTTAATAAATGTTCAAATGCTTCTAAATAAGGAATTAATTTTTGTACCACTTTACTGAATGCTTCAAATATTGAATGATCATATATTGTAGTTAAATGAAATCTAATTTAGAAAGTGAAAAAAGAGACTAATTTCAACATATATAGAGATATATACTGTCATTTAGAATAAGATTTCGAATGTATTAGGGAATCTCTAAATAATTGATAATTCCATTAACAATAACCTATGACCTCACAAGTCTTGTTTAAGATATCTATATAGTTCCTCTTCGACTTATTTTCTGTCAATAGTCAATTCACCTTATCACAAAATTGCACGCTACCTAGTGGATAAATTGAAAAACAGTCTGTAAACGATTAGCATCGTATAAATTAAAAGATTCATCTAAATTAGTCGAAAATATGAACCATATAAATGTTGCTAGTAAATTTATGGTTTCCAGTGATGCAACATTATTGTTTACCAAAAAACCATTTCTTGAAAACGTAGACATAACTTGCCAGCGTCATGATATTCTACCTTCACCAGCATCAAACTCAAACGACTGTTAATCATTTGTACAAAGGACACTTTTTCAATTCAATAATGTCATATACCAACAAACTGATTGTGTAGCAACGGGAAGTCCGTTAGGTCCTGCCCTAGCAGATACCTTCATGGCTAATCTAGCAAGAACCAAGCTCAGAGGAACAATAGATGAAATAGTGTATTATTCAAGGTAGGTTGATGACGTCATAGTATGCAACAATAAAAAGCATGAAACAAATCTGCTGCAACTTCTCAACAAAGGCCATGAAAATATCTACTTTACTATGGAACAAGTTCCATTTTCTCGACGTTGCAATATAAAAAAGATGGTACGGTTCAACGTTCGGTTTATAGAAACTATACATACAATGGAGTTAATCTCAATCTCAATAGATTTTGTGGACAGATTCAAACACAGTTTGACAGGAAAGAAGGAATAAGTACTGCCAACACACTAGAAGAGGGAAAATGAATCTGAAAAGGTTTTTAAGGACCAACGGCTTCAACAACAAAAAACGTGAAGACAAACAACCTAGTTAGGGAGTCGTGAAGGACCAACAAAAGTCAGTCCTTTGCAGCTTTCTTTCATACTACGACACCATGTCATACACTGACCACTCTCCGCTTTTTCCAACCAGTCCCAGCGTAGGCAAATAATGCACGACGTGGAATTCTCTGGGACGACATTCGTAGAACATGTCCAAGCCACCAAAATCGTTGTTTCAAAATGGTGACACCAATTGAATTATCGTCTCTGCGCGAGAACACTCGACGCCGAACCCCTGCATTACTAACATGGTGTTGCCACTGGATGTCAGCAATCTTCGGAGACAACGATGATCGAACACAGAGAGACGTCTAACATCCTCAACTCGGAAAGGCCAGGTTTCAAAAGCATAGAGCAAAACTGCTCTCAACAACGCGTTGTAGATCCGACCTTTTACAACCAGACTAACATCACGAAGGCGCCAAAGATGACCCAGATTGGCATAAGTCGCTCTGGCTTTCATTATACGTGCATCAATCTCATCACTCACGCCACCGCCAGCACATATGCAGCTACCTAGATACACGAACGTTTACAATACTGACAGAGACAAATGACTTTCTGAATCACAGACTAAAAACTGCATCAACAAGAACTTATCCTGCAGCGAAACTTATTGTCTTGTTCAAAGCATGTTCTTGAACACATTCAAAAATGGTCATTTTTCATTAATTTACTATTTTCATTTATTCATTTATACATATAAATATTGGTACAAACATGTACCAGATACATATGCACCACACATTCGCTTTTCGTCCTCTTGATTTCGTAAACAACACCCCTGCCACGTGAAGTCAGTGAGTAGGACGGTTGTGGTCATGTATAGGAAGGTTGGGTAGCAGAACCAAACTCCACAAGGCACAACAATTAGTTTTCATGGGATAGTCCTTTGTTACACGATAACTGTTGCAAGATATCATACTCAAACAAAAAAGTATTAACACTATTCTTTCACTCACCCTATACTAATTCCAGCATTCGACGGTTGTTCACACAATAAATCCTCTAAGACACTTGTTACATGTTGAGTAATATCTCGTTGTATATCCATTTTTTGATCATCTGATAAACAATCAACTTTATGAATAAATACTTCGAATTTAATGTTCATATTAAAACGGAATGCTGACTCTAAAGTAGCGTGTAGGCGAGTTAAAGCCGCATGATAATCATCCTACAGATTTAAAATAACGATCAACAATATAAATATTTGACATATGACTAGCAATTAAAAACCTGGGAAACTGAATCATATACATTTCATCAATCACTCAATTGTAATCTATTACGACAATCGAATTGATCTGATCACAGTTGGATAATACAGTATCGGTAATATTCGTTGTGAATACAATAACTTCTAAAGATAACTGTAAATAATACAAAACTGTTTTGTACTGTATGAACTTCAACTGACACTGACAGCATCTATTATACTGATAAAAACAATTCTCATACTCACTACACTGTAGTAAGAATAGGTTATTATTAACTTATCTACATATCTCATTTGGCATTTATCATTACAAGTAATTCTTATAAAATAGAACAGTAAAATATCAAATTGTTCAGTTGAGGATGAGCTGATGATCAGTAAAATATAAGCAGAAGATTTTGCAAACAAAACAAAAAACACACCGCATTCAGAAAAAACAATGATGACAGCTTCAAATGAAAAAAATAAACGGATAAGAAATTCATGTAGGAATAACACATTGATTTGCATGTTTCATATATATGATGAAAATCATTTACATATGTGTACAAGGTAGCAAATAGTAATCTTTGATAGAAGTAAACCATAATGATGATCAATATAGATATATTACAAGATTCTACTATTCTCTTCTTATATCTCTATTTTTATATTTTGGTTCTCCATCACTAACTTCCTGTCCATCTTCATCTTTTCCACTCGAATCAAGTTCGTTTACTGGCTCTTCATCTTCTGGTATAGGATCTGAAGACGGTTGATGTATCAACAATGCAGCTAATTCTCGCTTTGCATGTTGTTGATTTAATTCAAGCATTTGTTGTAATGCATTTTTAATGACACAGAAATTGAATTCTATGAAAAATACAGAATATATAGAACTTATTACGATTTTTCGTTGATGACCATATGTGGTAAACCGAAGGTCAGTTGAAGTGATCCCGAATGTAGTTTACCAATAACCCCATAAACGTTGTCGAACAACATATCACACTATTTTCTTCTTGTTTCAACGTTTGCAAATGCTTTCATAATCTTTTAATTCACTAGAAACTTCTGAAATTTATTGGCTTATCCTAGATATTAATATTATAATCCCCAGACCATCACCTTTATTTTCACATTACAATGTAAATCCGTCAATGTCATAGAGAGATGAACACCCTGATCTTTATCTACTGTCTCTAATTAATTCTTACTGATAGTTGTAATTTCGAGTTAAGCTTAAGGATGCCTCTCACAAACGAACATGTGCTCGCACTATAAATCGAAGTTTAAGCACGTGTTTTGAAAGTTGGTGAGAGATCTCAGGGATCCCTAAAATTACAGTTCATTGAGTATGCTTAGTGAAGCAAACCGGCGTTATCCATTCGATGATGTAGAATTACAAACTCAATACAAACACTGCTTTAACTAGCTTAGCTTGCTTCAGTATTTAAATTACTCACCACAAAAGGAAACATTTTAAGAAATCCAAAATATACTAGTGTGTAACAGACTCGCTTCAAATTCACAGAATAATATTGGAAACCAAACGAAACACAACACATATTTAGTTACTACTTTACCTGAGCATCGATAATGAAAATTATAGCACAAGAAGCTAAAAATATAGCTTCAGACTGAAATGCTTCATCACAAAAATCTATGTGACCAGGAAAATCCCATATTTGAAATTTGATAAAGGAGCATTCAGATACGTCTGAAATGTTATATCTTAAAACAAATCATAAATAATGCTACCATTCTTTTCAATTTTGTGGGTACTTTCCAAAAACAATGTTTCGTTTGGGGCCATTTTGTGAAAAACAACTCGCTGAATTGATGATTTACCACTTCTATCAATAAGAAATTATCATATTAACATAATGAAATAAAAACCTTCTTAAACCCATCAGTAGTATTTTCGGTTTTTCATCGACTTGACTCAACATATTTTGAAAAATAGGCAAATGATTCCCAACACCACAAGTGCCAGCAGCAACCGTGCTCTGTGATAGTTCACAATCATAGTTTTCCTGATATCCAGTAGGGATAAAGTTTCCTAACTCTGAATAAACCTGACGAGTGGGGTCCTCACTGTTAACATTGTTCATTCTGAAACTAAAAGGTGAAGAACTCTTAAAATGAAACTCAGTATTCGAAAAAATTAGATTGTAAAAGCATAACGTTATCTAAGTGTTTTAACAGCCTTGTTTGGAAAATTTAGCCGCTAAGTTTTGATTGACTAACTTGGGACAACTAATTCCTACTACTTCTTTGTCGGTAAAACTCGGGATCATCTAATATGGTTGGAAGTTCTTTTATTGCTGTTATATTGTTCCTGACTTCAGAGTAAACCACAATGTAAAGCGAAATTTGTAATGTAGACACCCTTTATATACCATGAAAGAGCATTTTTTTTATCTTCTTACACTGATTATCATATCACACGTACGGATTACATGCTTCCATAACCACTTTCGTTTTGCTTTATATTGTGTGTATTGAGGGTTGCTAAATCAATACTTAAAAATCGATGACTAACAGAAAACCTTCCAACTTTGAATCATTTAGCACTTAACGGATAAATGAACTTTACTTATCAAGAGCTTCAGTTAGTCAGATGTGAAAGTATCATGTCTTGAACTCAAATAATTTGTGATAATAAAAATTGCTTTACTAGGAATTGGGTGAGCTCTCCCTCTCGAAATACTCTCACATGGCCACGCGTATATAGCCTCTACCAGGGAAGTCCTACTCACTGCTTTCTCGTGGCGAGGGTTTTGTTTACAAAAGTGAGAGGACGAAATGCGAATGTCCGGCACTATGACCGGGTTGGTGGATATGAAGGATCCGCCTAGGGGAGTTGGAAAACCCTGATTCCAAACCAATGGTGCACATGGGCTCCAGTATCCTGAAGGAACAAATGGCGAATGAACCAGTTATTGGTCACCGGCTACCATGGGACTGCATCTCCTCACGATGCTCCACTGCCTTGTGGGTTAGACCTCTAGGTCAAAGGCTAGAGGTGTGGCCTCCTAAGAAAACCACCTGCTTCGGGTTAGGCACCCGGGCAGTATCACAGACCTCATGCAAATAAATGAAATGACACATTCAACTGACAATTCTATTCTCGCTCATACTAGAAACAAAACAATTTGCATTATTACTATTATTATTGATAATCATTATTATTTACCATATCGCTAACTCACCCCCTTTTATCCCCAATTTGTGTAACCTTACTTTTCAACTTATGCAGCAGCTCGCCCATGGTGGGAACTCTGTCCCATCTAAGCGATCTCTAGTCACTGTCTGGTCGAAAGTGAATGCTTTCACCGATTACGAATACTGAGGCAGTCTTTCTGAAACCACGTACGCCGTTCAAGCTGGCTTCCTTCAACGTTCGCACACTAATGCAGATCAGACAACAGATAGGGCTGGCTATGTCTTTGGAAGGTCTTAATGTTGATGTTTGTTGTCTATCCGAGACCCGTATTCAAGACTCTAGTGAAGTACTACAAATCCGCTCTCCATCTGTCGCCTCGAAGAGCTTGTTCCACGTGCGCTTATCCGGGGACCCTGTGGCATCTTCGTCCGGTCTTGCAGGCGTTGGTGTTGCACTAAGTGCTAGAGCTGAGGCAGCACTAATCGATTGGATCCCCATTAACAGTCGGTTATGTGCTGTTAGATTAGAAAGTTCCATCAAAGTGAGAAGAAATCGGCGTGAGAAACGGTGTCTATTCGTCATCTCCGCCTATGCCCCGACAGTTTGCAGCCCGGATGCAATCAAGGATGAGTTTTACCACCAGTTAACAGTTCTTCTCCAGAAAGCGCGTTCGACAGATATTGTAGTACTAGCAGGAGACTTGAATGCACAGGTCGGGCGTCTAGGCACAGAAGAGAGTCGTCTAGGTGGCCGATGGGGACTTGTTGGTCGCAGGACAGATAACGGGGACCGTTTGCTGCAACTGTGCACAGACCACAACCTGTTTCTGGCTAGCACTAACTTCCGGCACAGTCATCGCCGGTGTGCCACCTGGCGTCCTCCCTCTGCATCCCAAGCCCGGACTCAGATTCATCACATCGCGATCAGCTACCGCTGGCGTGGTTGTGTACAAGACTGCCGCTCCTTTTGGAGTACCTATCTGGAGTCTGATCATGCCCTGGTCTGCGCCAATCTCACCTTACTTTTCAGTGGCCGAAGGATTGACCACCACTAACGGATTGATATTAGTAAACTGGCTGCAACATCTGTTGCAAGTAAGTATCGAGCGGAGCTAGCTTCTAGGCTAGCTACCATCCCACCGAAAAGTATAGATGAGCATTGGTTGCATCTTCACGACGCCATGAAAATGGCGAGTAAAGCCGCTTGCGGCTTCGTGAAACGTCCCGCCTACAAGCACTGGGTTTCTTCTGGCTCCTTACAACTGATCGAAGCCCGTCGGTCTACTCCGGGTGACCGTGAGTATGACCACATACGAAGGCCGTTACGTAATGAAATTGGGCAAAGCTTGCGTAAGGACCGAGAAACCTGGTGGTCGGAGCGTGCTAATGAGATGGAAGCAGCAGCTGCATCTGGTAACTGCCGGAAGCTCTTCCAACTCATCCGAGCCACTGGCAGCAAGAAGTCTGGTGTGAGTGAAACAATCTACGAGGATGATGGGATGTCAATCACTAACATCTCTCGACATCTTGGACGATGGGCGGAATTTTTCGAAGGGCAGTTCAACTGGCCTGCTGCTCTGGCAACATCAACCAGCTTATCCTGCCCCCCATGGCCGGTGACGACTGATCCACCAAACGAGGCGGAAGTCCGCAAGGAACTCCAACTCTTGAAACGTTACAAATCACCTGGCCCAGATGACTTACCTCCAGCTCTTTTTAAAGATGGTGGTGACTTTCTGGCTAAAGAACTGACTGCGTTGTTTGAAAAGGTTTGGGAACAAGAAAGTGTTCCATTATCATAGAATGAGTCGATAGTCGTCCCTATCTTTAAAAAAGGTTCACGTTGTTCCTGTAATAACTATCGGGGGATAAGTCTACTTCCGATTGCGTCCAAACTATTGGCTTCTATCATTCTTCGTAGGTTGTTTAAAATCCGAGAACGATTGACTCGCGAGGAGAAGGCCGGTTTTCGTTCTGGTCGAGGATGCATTGATCACATCTTCACCCTCCGCCAAATGTTAGAACACCGTCATACTTATCGCAGGCCAACAATCGTAGTGTTTCTTGATATCAGGACGGCCTTCGATTCGTTGGAGAGGACTGTTCTCTGGGATTGTCTATTGAAGAAGGGTGTGCCTGAGAAGTTCATTAACATCTTAAAGGCCCTGTATACGAACACCTCAGGCAGAGTGAGGGCATACAACCACCTTTCTCCCTTGTTCCATTCGAGCAGTGGGGTTAGGCAGGGTTGCCCGATCTCACCATTCCTCTTCAACTTTGCCATCGACGACATCCTGGAAACAGCTCTGATGGATGTAAGTAATGGCGATGTGGATCTGCTGCCTGGAGAACGACTTCTCGACCTTGAGTATGCGGATGATATTGTCTTACTGTGCGATAATGCCCAAGGCATGCAATCCGCACTTAATCAGTTGGCAATCAGTGTCCGCAGGTACGGCATGTGCTTTGCACCCTCCAAGTGCAAAATACTCCTACAAGACTGGCAGGATTCTAATCCTGTACTCACCCTGGATGGTGAGGAGATCGAAGTAGTTGAGAAGTTCCTGTATCTAGGTAGCTATATAAGTGCTGGTGGGGGCGTGAGTGATGAGATCGATGCACGTATAATGAAAGCCAGAGCGGCTTATGCCAATCTGGGCCATCTTTGGCGCCTTCATGATGTTAGTCTGGCTGTCAAAGGTCGGATCTTTTTTTATTTTATTTTATTTAAACACATAAAAATTGGTACAATGAAGCACCAGATAAATATGCGCCTCACAAATCTCATTCGATTTGTGTGAGGGCTGTGATACTGCCCAGGTGCCCAGACTGAAGCAGGTGGTTTTCTTAGGGGGCCACACCCGGAGCCTTTGACCTGAATGTCTGATCCACAAGGCAGTGGAGCATCGTAAGGAGATGCAACGCGTCGGTGAGAGCAGCTTTGTTCTATGGTTGTGAAACCTGGCCTCTCCAAGTTGAGGATGTTAGACGTCTCTCTGTGTTCGTTCATCGTTGTCTCCGAAGGATTGCTGACACCCAGTGGCAACACCATGTTAGTAATGCAGAGGTTCGGCATCGCGTGCCCGGGCGCAGAGACGATAATTCAATTGGTGTCACCATTTTGAAACAACGATTTTGGTGGCTTGGACATGTTTTACGAATGTCGTCCCAGAGAATTCTACGTTATGCATTATTCGCCGACTCTGGGACTGGTTGGAAAAAGCAGAGAGGAGGTCAGTGTATGACATGGTGTCGTATTATGAAAGAAAGTTGCAAAGGGCTAGCTTCTGTTGGTCTTTCACGACTCCCTGGCTGGGGTCCGAGAGATGGTGCAACACAGTGGCTAGAGGCGTTATCAGATATGGCTCAGAATAGAAGCCAGTGGCGAACCTGCTGTAGCCTTCTTTTACTTTCTACATAAAGAATGGTTCTAACTTTCCTAACTGAAAGAGTCTTCTGGTTGCACATTTCAGTCCGCCTTATCTTTTCATCCCTTCTCTTCCTACTTTCATTATTTTGTGTGGCGCATATGTACCTGGTGCCCTTTTGTACCAATATATATGTGTTTAAATAAATAAATAATAGAACACCGATCACATTCAGAATGCTAACACGAAATAAGGAGAAAATCAACAATCCCCCAAGGTCGTTATATATACACATCTTCTTCCTTTTCCTCCCATTCTCATTATTTTCTGTGGCGCATATGTATCCGGTGCCCTTTGTACCAGTATATATGTGATTAAATAAATAAATAATAAGTTTGCTCTACACGAACCGCAGATAAGCGTTAGATGATTATTGAGGCTAGTTTAGATGTTATAATGGTCAGATTGATTTCTCTGTGATGGTCACAAGAGGATTTTGTCGTTTCCTACAAACTGGGACGCTTAGCGACCGAGACTAGTCAAATCGGATTACATCCAGTTCCCAGATCTCAGTTAATTTAACTGCTAAAACCGGAACACCCTCCTTAAAAATCTCGGCGGTGAGTCCATCGGACCCTTCCGCAATCCATCGTTGTAGATTTCCTATAGCATTTTTAGCTTCACTGAGTTGAGAACTCACACCGTCCAGAACGAGTGGTTTTCTTTTATCAAGCCTCTTCAACAATGGGCAATGGCAATGTGGTCTACTTAGGTCCATCACAAGGCTGAGTGTGGAGGTTGCCACGTCAGACAATGCTTCCTTTTATGTTTAAAGTTAATTTTTTCCAGAACTAGACGGTTATCTGAGCTCAGTTACAACAGGTGGTCGCTATTATATAATCGCTGAGACGCGACACCATAAGATCCGCCTAAGTGACTTTCGGTTTGGTTTAGTTTAACTACTTGAGCATTAAAATCACCTACCACTAGTACCAAATCAGAGCGTTTGAAAGCCCATAAATTTCACCGTTAACTTTACCTGAGCTGCAATCAATGGGGGCAATGGCGTGTCTTTATCTTTTGGAGTTCTTACTGTCTGTTTTTTTCAGACAGTGCACAACCGACTGTTAAATGAAATCCAGTCTAGGAGAGCTTGTCCTGTTTTAGAACTCAATGATATA